CAAAGGTTGCTTGAGTGCTCCTCGTAAGGCTAGGTTCACACCTATGCAGTTTGCGTTTGATCCGTTTCTGCATTGCTTTTTGTGGTGCCACTTGTTGCTGGGCAGATTAATACACAACAAAAACACACTACATGCTTTTCTGACGCATCTCCATTGAAGTCTACAGAACCAAAAACGCAACGTTTTGCATTTAAAAAAGTCCCCGCCCTTTCCAAAAAATGCACCAGGTGAAAACGCAGAGATGTGAACCTGTCCCATAGGAAATTATGTTAAATGGGCTGCTGTGCATTTACACAAAAGCAACAGAAAACGCATAGGTGTGAACTTAGACTAAGACAGGAAATGTGGTACTGACAAGGTCACCAGATGAAAATATTGTAAAAAAAAACTTTGTTGGTTTACCTGTAAACAGTTCATATTAATGACCACTTGGGTTAAGCTGCCTCCTTCAGGTGAATAGGCACTGGCCAAAAAAAGGAAGAAATTTCCTGTACAGGCACAAACTCTTCCAGCTCAGCTAAGTCCTAGTTTTGTAGCAAGCAGAGAGTAACACAGACAAGAGGGGATGGATCTGGTATCCTGTAAAGTACTCCAGGAAAAGGATTTGACAACATTACCAAAACATTTCTATATTCTTAATTATACCTCAAAGGACACAGGACTCTAAATACTCATGACTACTTGGCATGTCGCAAAGCACTAAACACAAGGAGAAGGAAACACAGCAACAAGGCCAAAATGCTGAATACTCAAAAACAGTATATGGGAGAACCCAACAACAAGACTGACTGCCATGCCTTTTCCCCAAACCTTGCATCAGCAGAGGTGTAAACATCAACCTGGTATAACTTAAACATGTAAACAGAAGACAAGATAGCCATTTTACACACTTCAACAACTGAAGCTTGTAGCTGCACCGGCCGGGGTAGCAATGGCACTCCAGAAATAGGCCTTGGTTGGAAATGGAGGAACCTTGTCCTTGATACCATAGCCCTGAGAAATGAGCTGACAAGAGCATCCTTGGTCTTGGCTACACACAAGATGTAGTTTATTGTTGAATCTGGAGGCTAGGACATCTAGAGCCCCCAATTTCTAATATTGATGTAAGCCACAGCTGTGGCATTGCCTGACTCAGCCAACTAGGTGTCCTCACAGAAGGGGGTTCCATTGTTGCAGAGCCATTCAAACTGCTCTGAGCTCCAGGATGTTGACAGGGAGCTTGGTTTCCACAGATGACCATGTTTCCTGGACTGTGGAAAAACCTGTGACCTGGATGCCCTGAGTTCTGAGAAGGGCACGTAGAGGTGATAAGATCTGTGTGGATATTCTGGGAGCAGAGGATGGGCCAAAGGGCAGTGCTAGAAATTGAAAATAATTGTCTGGCACTACTGTAAAATGCAAAAAGCGCTGATGAGATGGATAAATGGGAATATGCAGATAGGCATTTTAGAGGTCTACAATGTGATGCATTTCCCTTGTCTCAAGAGAAGCAACTACTAACCTTGTGAATTCCATATGAAATTTTGGAATTTGAAGGTATTTGTTGAGGGATTTTAGTTTCAGAATATGATGAACACCTCCATTGGGCTTTGGTACCATGAATAAGTTTGAAAAAAATCCTTTGAACCTGTCTTTTGGGATATTGGCACTACTCCTTGGGACAAGAGGTGGTTCTGGGCATTTTGTAAATTTGAATGTCTTTAAACAGTTCCTGGTTGATATGAGAAAAAAAAATAGTGAGAGTTTTGAACTATATTTGGTACCCCTTTGAAACCAACAATTAAACTTTAAAGTTAAGGACATCTGTGACCCAGAGAGGGGCAAACTGCCCCCCCCCCCCCCACACACACACACTTTTAGGAGTCATGGGCTTTGGTAAAAAATTGCTGGGATTTGTGGTCCAACTCTATCGCAGTAAGGAAGGGATGAATTTAGGTTTGGGAGTTAAAGCCTGGGTAGTGTGGTTAGGTGCTCTATGTTTCAAAGAGGCTTCTGAGGAAAGAGATTTTGGAACCTTCCACTGTGGAAGTAAAATTGATTGGTCAAGTGTCTTCCCAAACAAACTTCTTCCTTGAAAAGGCACTAGTGTGAGAAATCTTTTACAGGTGGCTTCGGTTGTTTAGGCTTTTAGACACAAGATTCTGCACTCGTGAATAGAGATTAGGGCCTTTCTGGAAATCTGCCTCATGACATGTTCCAGGACATCCACACAAAAAAGCAAAGCATAAGGTAATTGCCGTAAACTGCTCTGTTAAAACACAATCATGGAAAACAGTGCCATGTTGGTTGTTCATTGCCCTAGTTCAATTAGCTGCAGCTTGACATAGTGAAATTACAGCGAGAGCTGGTTGCAGGGCTGGGCCTGCCACAGTAAAGAGAACCTTTAATAACGTCTCAAACTTTCTATCAGCAGAATCTCTGAAAGAAGGGACATCTTCAGTATGTACAGTGAGATGTTTGTTTAAGACTGAGATGGGAGTACTACAGGAATAGACCACTGTTTAGTAAACTTTTTTTCAACTGAAAATCCTTTCTGGTGTGAGTCAATATTCACAGATTGCACACTTTCTGTTTATGAACAGGGAATGTCTTTGAGGGTATTACAGATCTCTTTTTACCCAAAAAAGAATAGCAAGATGGAACAGTATTAAAGTGGTAGTAAAGGCTCAAGGTTTTTTACCTTCATGTATTCCTGGACTCCCCTAATACTTACCTGAGCCCCTTCGTGATCCATCGATGTGCACAACAGCCTCGGCTGTCCCGAGTCTCTGCCTCCTCATTGGCTGAGACAGCAAGCAGGAGCCATTGGCTCCCACTGCTGTCAATCACAGCTAGTCACCCAAAGAGGAGAGAGAGGGGGGTGAGGCCAAGCTGTGGCTTCGTGTGTGAATGGGCACACAGAGCAGTGACTTGGGAACACACCTGCTTGGGTGCCCCCATCGCATGCTGCTTGCTGTGGGGGCACCTGACAAAAAGGGGGAGCCAGGAGAGCCTGCGGGGGACCTGAGAAGAGGAGGATCCAGGCTGCTCTGTGAAAAACCACTACACAGAGCAGGTATGTATAACATGTTTGTTATTTTCAAAAAAAAAAAGATGAACCTTTAAAATTGCTTTAGGCTGCACAAAGCCAAGGTTTTTGTGGACGGCAGCAGTGAGCTTTTCCACGTTGGCAAGCATGCTACCTGAAGCTCCCTCTTCAATATGCGGCAATGTGGAGAAGAAAAATCTTCTGCAGCTTCCTCCAATACTGCTTTCAATGTCCACTCTGTCCTATTCTGTGTTTGAGGCATTGTGTCATAGATGCAGAAAATTATACTTTTGTCAAACAGGCCACTTGTTGTATGCCTACACTAGAATGAGAACCGAGTAAAGAGACCGGTTTTAGAGTTGGCTTCTGCACCAATGCAAGGGGTACAACCCAAGCGTAGATGATCCTGTAGCAAATCCTCATGATGAAAAGGTGGCAGGAAGCATCTGCATACCATATAAGGGCTCAAGGTGGAAGTGCTAGTAAAATGTGCAGTCTGTGGTGTGATGTAACATCTAGTCATCCACCTGAGACTAAGCTCTGCATGACTGAGTTTTAGCACAAAATTTGAACTGTTTACATTTTCATGAATGCAATTCAAATGTAGTCTATTTTTTAACAGCAAAGGTCAGAAGCATAAAAGGTGACACTGTCTAACCTCAACAAAACACTGGAATGTTTATAAAGTCTGGGCTTTGCCTGTCTTCAGGGACTCAATACCATAAGGATGGACCTGTATAGCACCCTGTGGCTGTCTACCCACCTTGCTCCAGGTGTCAAAGTGATCACCCATTCAAGATACAGTGCTTGTAGCCACATTAAAGGCCATCCCTACATGGTGGGATCCAGGTAAGGCTCCCAAGGTTTACCAAAGTTGAGCTGATCCAAATGCACTACTTCTATGTGTGGCATTAGAAGACAATGAATTGATAATGAATAATAAAGAAAAATAAAAAATAGTTAAGCTAACAGTGATCTCTCTGTGAAGAAGAAAACGTCCATCACCTTGGGATACTAGCACAAAAAAAGGATTCATGGAGTAGGGTAGGATTATAGGGTAGGTGACCAATGGGTGACTCAAAAGTCCAGTCATCTGAAGGTATGAGCATATAACCCAAGGGTTTACAGATACTTAACCTGTCTTGTACTGTACATTTAAGATAACCCCATTTCTTGTAGAATTCCTCCTCCATGGAGTTGGTGACTGCTAAATAAGGATGTACAATGAAACATAGTCTAAAAGGTAGACTCCTATTTTAACAGTTATCGATTTAAAGGTTATTCCCCTTTCTTGACAAACTTACATTTTGGTGAAAATATAGTGCAAAGAGGGTGTACATTCAGACAGATATTTTATGGAAAACTCCAGGATAAATAACGCAATTGCACTCGCAAAGTGCACAATCTATTTGCCTTTACTAAATGAACCCAATAGAACACAATTGTGGAACAACACAGGTCACCGCACTATGTGTGAATGAACCCTCACTGTTTTTGGGTTCATTAGTCTTTAACAGTGGCTTGGATACAGTAGATTAAAAATCCTCATATGTTGTGGTTGTCAGGTTTGCCAGGGGCATTTCATTTGCATACGCAGGAAAAGGTACAAAGTATTTTTGTAATTGATTTGTCATATTTATAGTTGAAATGTGCAAATGTATACTGCACATCTGAAGTTCTTCATTAATTTCTGAATTTTCCGCAGCAAGTGACCAGCTGTGTCAGCAATAAACTGTTTTTTTATTATAATAAAAAGTATGTAATGCAAGTTCAACTGAGTTCATATCTCATCGACTTCATAATTAAGTGTTGCTTAAGGTGGTAATATGGTATGCTCAAGTAGATTTTAAACACATGGATCAACACAATAAAAATAAGCAACTGCTGAAAGCTAAAGTTAATGATCATATAGGTTTACACTGTATATTACAAACATAGTACATGCCTGGATTGCAAGAATAGTACTACGCACCTGAGGGTTCTCATAGAACAGGATGTCTGGTACTTTCATCTGCTCATCTGTATTAAATACTGGTACAGTAACACTTCCAAGCCTTAGTATGCCAGATTTTATTTCACCTAAAAAATAACCCATTAGTAGAAGGCATTTAACCCAATATTATTCAAATGGTACATATTTACAGTAGAACTCTACTCAAAATTGAAAAATATAAGTAATGTGTAATAAACATATGTAAAATGGTTTTTTTTAACTTTTGATTGGTGCAGCTTATTTATCTCTAAAGTGTATATACAGCTTTCCAGCTTCCTCCCTCCCCCATTGATAAAATGTCTTGTATTCTATTCAGAAAACACAAGGCATCCTGTAATTGGAAAAGGTGTGGGCCTGTTCTTCATCCGACGACCCTCCTCTCTCCCCTTACGGAATTACCGATTAGGGAATACCTTTTATTAGCACATTTAAAAGTTTTGATCTAAAAATTAATGAATACAGTGAAGGCAGGTATGTAAACCAACATGACATCTTACAGCTATAATCACTGTTTTCCATCCTTTCCAACTCCTCACTGGTTTCTTCCATCCCCGAGTCCACTAAGTATTTCAGTAATGTTGATCGTGCCAGACTGGGTAAAAATCTAGAAAATTTTATACATATAAAAAGCATAATTTTAAATTAATATTTTCTTTAATAAATTGAAAAAATATATACATGCAGAATAAAAGGTAACAGTTATAAATGACAGAGGCTAAACATTTTACAGCAGACAGCAAGCACTTTAAATAAACATTCACAAATAAAAAGCTTTATAATTGCCAACACTCTATATTAAACCAGAAAAACAACATCTCTGCCAAACTTCCTAGGTCTGTTCCTGCTAACTTTGGGGTACTGGGTATTCTCACTTCTCATTTTCCAATATTTATGGTATGGTTGGAATTGGAATCCAACAGAGTGTTGGAACTACCTTGCAATGGCTGTGGCAGATGTGCCAAAAGAATCAGCATGAAACTGAAAAGAGTTTGTGAGATATACAAACAACCATCAGTTGAAAATAGAAATGTGAACTGTACAGCTGGACTCACCTTGCAACAGAGACCAATTTACTATGAGGTCAGAGTTTTATGATTAAAACCCTTATGTTAAGAAGAATCAGCACCAATGAAATATAAAGTTTCCCTCTGCCTTTGTCTGTTGCAGGTACAGTATATTCGTGATTTTTATTTTCAATATTTCTATTCATTTTACAAAATGTGTAAAAGAGGTTTCAGACAATGGCAGTAAAAACAACATACAGTAAATGGACTCGTGGAACGGAGTCCAAAACAGGACAAAGTCTTTACATTAAAAAAAAAAATGTCATGCCCATATGCAAAGTAGCTTGAAGAAAGAAGCCCCAAGATTCCCGGTGTCAGGGATCATTCAGATGTAAAAGAAGAATGTACATATAAAACATGGCCTGGATAATACCGTGTGGGCACTACTGCAAAAGTATAAAAAGCAGGAGAGAGAATTGAGAAGAAAGAAAGAGGGTTAAGAAGGGTATAGAGGGAGAGAGGGGATGGGATGGGGTGGAGGAATGGCATGGAGGGGGGTGTCCTTGCTCACTCTGCATCTTGGGATGTGGGCCCACCCGTTAAGTGGTGATATTCAAGTGGTGATCCATGGTTCCAAAATTTTACGGCATTTATCTTGGGTATTTTCGAAAATGCTGGTGTGCTGTTTATTCACAAAAATGCCATCCAAAATACACTGTAAAGTGCGCTGGTCAAGAACCCTCCCACCAAGAGGACACACTGGTAAATGTAGTTCACACAGTATATTAAATCATTAGTATGGCGCTGCAGCTCTCTTGATACTCCACTGGGCAATGGTCATGCATCTATCTGAACTACCGCCCTAGTGTGATACTGTTTAATAAAAGAACGGAATAAAAACATCAATCATTCCACTCACGCACCGTGAGGTAATCTGGCGACACAGAAGGGAGCTAGGGGAGGAGAGACCACCAGCGATGGCTGGTCCGTGCGCATGTGCAGTATATCAGGCATGCCATAGCCCATGGACAGCGGTGTGTAAAAGCTGGGATCTCTAGCTGTCAGCTAGGCAGTTTGTTATATACCCAGTGCCCAGATCTTACAGCGGCGATGCAGGAGCAGTGGCCAAGACCATTTATATGCTGACACATCTACTACTAAATGTGAGTAGAACGATTGAACTTTCTATTCAGTTTTATTAATTAAACAGTATCACACTAGGGTGGTTGTGTGCTCTCTCCTTTTTTCTTTTGTACAAAAATGCCTTCGATTCAAATATTCATGATTTTCATAAAATGTATGCAAAACCATTGCAGGTGCACAGGGTCCTACTCCTAAACAACTTAAAATTAAGCAATTTTTGGAAAAAGAAAACAAAAAATAGATTGTTCAATGTGTTCAAATTATACAACACTGCTTGAAATCCCTCAAATGTATGCAAAGCTATCTTAGGTATGGCTGGGTCTGTTCTTAGTTTAATTTATGTTATTTTACAATTCACTGTTCACTAGTTTTTTGAGTTTTTACATTAAAATGCACAAAATGAGTAACAGAGGAACACTGGTGATGCTGAAGTGTGTGGACATTTGTTGACATTTGAGAGATGTAGGTATTGGGATTGATTGACTAAAGGCAAACAGGCTGTTTACATTGCAAAGGATTTCCCCTTTAGCTTAGTAAATGTGGAGAAAAATCACATTAATTTGATATTCTACAAAGATTCAATGAAGTTTGATCTGCAGTGTAGACAATTAGTTGAGACCACATTCTCACCATGTTCTCACCTCCTGTGCTGACAATCAACCTTTACTTGGTGTATGGTAGGCTCTACAGTTCGCCATTACAAGGTGTAGGTAATATTAACATTATGTGCCTGTACTCCTGTTCTAGTAGTTTACATAATTTTAAACAGGTAAAAGTTGTTTAAATGATGAGAAATTTGCAATAAACACATTTCTTTTACATAACCGTGGTGTGGGCTAATAACCCCCTGCATATGTACTACTACATCTTTTGAAAATTAAGAAATCATTGCATTTTCACAGGTAGGCACCAAACTGCACCCCACTCCACTGTCACAATGCTTTGAAGGCCAGAATACATACCTTGAAAGGCAGGCCTTGTTAACAGCATGATAAAGACTTTCATCTGGGTATTGAGATAATCGTCTGCATATGCGAAGTAACTGTCTTGTAGATAAAGATGAAGCTAAGGACTGAGTCTGTCAATGAAGAAGAATATTTACAAATGTTTTATTCTGTTTGCCATAAGAAGCATAGGACATAAAAGTGGTCTTTTACTGACAAACAGAATGTAATATGGTAATCAAAAGCAGAATTGCTTTACAAAGGGTTGACTCTACAGTCACTCTCTGATATACAGTACTGTGCAAACATTTTAGGCAGGTGTGAAGAAATAAAGAACAAAAAACTCTGTGCTAATTAACACAAAACCCTACTCTGATGTGTGATAAATGTGTTATAAATAACAACTCAGCATGAAATAAAATATAAACGGAAAGCTGCCAACATAAATACTCACATACAGATATTAAGGATAATCTAAAACCATACATGTAAAGCGCTATCCTCAATGTTCACAAATATCAATGATGTTTGAGGCTTGTAAACACTGAGGATAGTGCTTTGTATGGGTGTTTTTAGGTGTGAAGAAATACTGTAAAGTAAGAATGCTTTCAAAAATATATACACTCACCGGCCACTTTATTAGGTACACCTTTGCCTTCAGAACTGCCTTAATTTTTCGTGGCATAGATTCAAATAATGTGTTGAATAATGGACATGAGTTACTGTTGCCTTTCTATCATCTTGTGCAAGTCTGCCCATTCTCCTGTGACCTCTGACACAACCACCACACATCTGCAGCTCACTGGATATTTTCTCTTGTTTTTAGCATCACGCAGTTGCTGCAGATTTGTGGGCTGAATATGCATGCTGAAAATCTCCCGTTCCACCACATGCCAAAAGGTGCTCTATTGGATTGAGATCTGGTGACTGTGTAGGCCATTGGAGTACAGTGAACTCATTGTCATGTACAAGAAACCAGTTTGAGATGATTTGAGCTTTGTGACATGGTGCATTATCCTGCTGGAAGTAGCCATTAGAAGATGGGTATACTGTAGTCATAAAGGGATGGACATGGTCAGCAACATTACTCAAGTAGGACATGGCATTTAAAGGATGCTCAATTGGTACTAAGGGGCCCAAAGTGTCCCAAGAAAATATCCTCCACACCATTACACCACCAGCCTGAACCGCTGATACAAGGCAGGATGCCATGCTTTTATGTTGTTTACACCAAATTCTGACCCTACCACCTGAATGTCACAGCTGAAATCAAGACTCATCAGACCAGGCAACGTTTTCTAATCTTCTGTTGTCCAATTTTGGTGAGCTTGTGCGAATTGTACCCTCCGTTTCCTGTTCTTAGCTGACAGGAGTGGCACCTGGTGTGGTCTTCTGCTGCTGTAGCCCATCTGCTTCAAGGTTCGACATATTGTGCATTCAGAAATGGTATTCTGGATACCTTGGTTGTAACAAGTGATTATTTGAGTTACTGTCGTCTTTTTATCATCTCGAACCAGCCTGCCCATTCTCCCAGTAGATCAGCAGTTTTTGAAATATTCAGTCCAGCCCAGCTGGCACCAACAGCCATGCCATGTTCTCAACACCATTAAGTCTGTCTGGGAAGATACAGAAGGATTTGAGGCAGCCTACATCTACAGAAGAACTGTAGTTCATTCTCCAGGATGTATGTATGGAACAACCTACCAGCTAAGTTCCTTTTAAAAACTGTGTGCAAGTGTACCTAGAAGAACTGAAGCTGTTTTAAAGGCAAAGGGTGATCAAAAATTGATTTGATTTGGATTTTTCTTCTTTTCATTTATTTTCTATTTTGTTAATTGATAAAAAAAATAAACTATTAACACTTCTATTTCTGAAAGAATTCTTCATTTACATTTTTTTCACAGTAGTGTACTTAGCATTGAGTGTTTTACATCATTATACTTTTAAGTGTCAGTTTCACAGTCCACTTTGTTAAGGACTAAAAAGGGAATGGGGCCTCTAATGTGCACATATGGACCTTGCCAAAGAATATGGGTCCCTGGTTATTTGGTTTTCATTTAAGAAAACATAATAGCTCTTGTGACATAAGCCCACTGGAGGTGGAGAAGCAAACATGCAAGAGACAGGATTTCTGGATCTAACTATACTGTATAACAAACGAGGTCTGCAGTGAAAAGTTTCAGTCTGAAATGTAAACCAATAACTGGAAATGACTATATAAGTAAAGATCATGGATCAAATACATTTCAAGTAGTAGTTGTCAAAGGTGACCAAACACTGGAGGAAGAGCACAAAGCAGAGCCAAAATCATTAAAAATATGGAGGCTGAAGACTTAGGAAAAAGACTGGCCACCCAAAAGATGATCCCTTGTGCAACATCCAGTGAAGAGCCCTTAAAAACTGATTGATGTGAGTTGAGTAGGGATATTGGGAAAGAAAAAGTTTCTACTTTGGTCTTTTTAAACTGTTTTGCCTCCTACTTTATTTTTACACTGTACCTTTATTAATTTGTTTTCACCATCTACATTGTGCCTGTGTCCTGTGGTCAAGTGTGTTCTATTATGCACAAAATCTACTGTGAAAACTGACTGGTAAAATCAAGCTATCAAAAAAAGAAACAATTCTATATCCACACCATTAAAACAGGCAAAAATAAAACCTACTTTTCTGCTGCCAGTCTAGTCAGGAGAAATCAAGTGACAAAGACGTGTCATTACTTTAGTTCCTAATAAATTTGATACTTTTTGTAGGAACATAAAACTAAGTCATCTGCCACAAAATTACACTGGAAACAGGTGTTAGGCTAAAAATAAAATAAATAGACGTCAACAATGGAAAGACCTGAGAGCACATGACTGGAAATTTGGGACAACATATTCAGCACAAGTAATCTTTTAGTGTTCTACTTTGAAACATCTAAAAATAAGCACACACAGACTACACTTTATACTGATAGACAAGATCCAAAACCCTTTTTCTACATTTGGCGTTCCGTGTCCCTAATGAATAACATGTGTCCGTATACTTAATTTTCCATTATATTCATTTCTGGGTTCTCACATGAGAACAGAGCATTCCAGATCACCAAGATAAATGTCTCAGTGAGAAAAATAATTTAGCTGGTTTATCAAATTCAATATAATCGTCATGATAAATGCAACAAACAAATAAAAATAATCATTGCCTCAGGACCTCTATTTATGTTTACATAATACAAGAGCACTGTCAATAAAATGTACACTTTATCCACTTGCCCTCCGGAAGATTTACCCCCCTTCATGACCAGGTCATTTTTTACCATACAGCACTGCGTTACTGTAACTGACAATTGTGCGGTCATGAAATACTGTACATAAATGAAAGTTATATAATTGTTTTCCCACAAGTAGAGCTTTCTTTTGGTATTTGATAATCATAGGGTTTTTTATTTTTTGTGCAACAAACAAAAAAAGACCGAAAATGTAAAAAAAAAAAACATATTTTTTACTTTATGATATACAACATATCCAATAAAAAATGTAAAAAATAAAATTTCTTCATACATTTAGGCCAATATGTACTCTGCTAGATATTTTTAGGTAAAAAAATCCCTATAAGCGTATATTGCTTGGCTTGCGCAAAAGTTAGTGCGTCTACAAACTATAAGATATATACTGGATTTTTTATTTATTTTTTTTAACACTAGTAATGGCGGCGATCAGCAACTTATAGCAGGACTGCGATATTGTGGCAGACAATCTGACACTAACAAACAATTTATGGGAACCAGTGACATTAATACAGTGATCAGTGCTAAAAATATACACTGTCACTGTACTAATGACACAAGCTGGGAAAGGGTTAAACATCTAGGGTGATCAAAGGGGTTAATTGTGTGCCGAACCAGTGTTTATATGTTTAATTTTGTGTGTTCTTACTAAGGGATGCACTGGATTTTATTCCCTGCTTTGTAGGGAAACAAAATCCAACACCTCCCCACTGTCGACAGAGCTCTTGCATTGTTTACATATGCAGAATTCCGTCCAGTGTGTCTCTTCGCTGACCAGCGGGTGCCAGCTGTCATCTAGTAGTGGCGCACCCCCTACTTAGAATTGCGGAATAACATATATATACGCTCACCATTCACTTTATTAGATACACCTTGCTAGTACCAGGTTGGACCCCCTTTTGCCTTCAGAACTGCCTCAGTTCTTTGTGGCATAGATTCAACAAGGTGTTGGAAACATTCCTCAGAGATTTTGGTCCATATTGACATGAGTTACTGTTGCCTTTCTGTCATCTTGAACCAGTCTGCCCATTCTCCTCTGACGTGTCAGACGTCCATACAACTGCCACTCACTGGATATTTTCTCTTTTCCAGACCATTTCTGTTAACCCTAGAGATGGTTGTGCATGAAAATCCCAGTAGATCAGCAGTTTTTGAAATACTCAGACCATCTGGCACCAACAACCATGCCACATTCAATGTCACTTAAATCCCCTTTCTTCCCCATTCTGATGCTCGGTTTGAACTTCAGCAAGTCATCTTCACCATGCCTAGATGCCTAAATGCATTGAGTTGCTGCCATGTAATTCATTGATTAGCAATTTATGTTACCGAACAATTGAGCAGGTGTACCCAATAAAATGGCCAGTGAGTGTATACATGATTCTGCACAGAGCGGTTGCCTTGTAGCCATAAAATTGCTATAGGTGGTCAGCAAGTAGTTAAACTTGCAAATGCAATAAAGATAAATAAATGTTATTATTGTTATTAGAGATTGTAAAGACTACGTTCACTATTATCCCATAAGAACTTGAAAAAAATTTTAAAACAACAACGATGATGACGACGATAAAAATAATAACAATATTTTTGTTCTTTTCAGTTCCTTTAAATTCCAGCTTTATAATCCTGCAGGTTTCATGAAAATAAGTAGACCCAGTTTAAACTATATATTGATAATGCGTGGGGTTCACTCTGGTCTATTCAAACAGACTTGCAAATCCAAGTGAAATGTACTTTTAACATTTTATATTTAAATAATTCAACTACTTGAATTTGCATCTATATTGGTCTACTGTACAGTACTGAGAGAGCGAGGCACAGGAACAGAAGCCAAGCAAGCTCTGCTGCAGTGCATGTACAGTATACTGTCGGGAAAAATAGAAAAGATAGTGGTTCAGACTGGGGGTATGTTTTGGGCCAACTTGTGCTGCCACTGTAAAGAAGGAAGAGCGTTGGCTAAACTGTCTTCCAGGCACACCTAGATCACAAAACAAGATATAAAGACTTGCAAGTATTTTGACAGGTAAAGAGGTTCACACATATGCATTTCATCTGTGTATTCAGCTGCTTGCCTAAAATCCAGATTCAAGACTGCATTAAGTAAATAGCACCTGATTAGAACACACATGCAATAATAAAATGTCATGAAACAGTAACTCACATTAGTGTCCTTTGTGTCACGTAGCTTGTGTGTTAATGTCAATAGCTGTTCCACAGCCTCTTTTGGGACATTTGGCACCTGAGAAACAAATTACATAGAAATTTTATTAAAAAAAAAACTTCATGTGATGTCCAAGCAACGTCTGGCAATCTTTTCATGTTGTATCAAAAGCATCTTCATAAGTTGAAAAAACAAAATTGCTCCATATTGCTCAAAATAAAAAAAAAAGGTTGCTAAGGTTTAATCCTTATCTGCTATTGATAAGGAATAAACCTTATCAATAGCAGAGTAAAAGTGTCAAACAATTCTATGCTTTAAAAAAAGCCTGTTTGGTGGCTTGAAAGATTGCATTTCTTTATGAAGAATTATGCATTTTAACTGCTTATCTACGTTGCGCTTTATACCACTATATGGTGTATTATGGCTTATGAGTGGTCTGCGGAGATGACTTTTGCTGAATTAGAGAAACATTTGCTCTGAAAGGAAGAGAATTGGACTGCACTTCATTGTATGATATGTTAAAGAGGTAAATGAGAATAACCCAAAGGTATGGGAAAGGCCATTGGCTTTGGCTGGGAATTGATCTCAACAGCTGAGAAAAAGATAGATTCAAGTGTTGCAATTTATGGAGAGCTTGCCAGAAAGGTATTGGATGTGCATGTTTGGATAAAAGGTGGCCTGGCGATTGTTTCATCATATCTAAGGAAACTGAAATGCTCATGTCAGGGGTTTTTATGTCTACTAATATAGATCCACCATTTAAGCCCAGTGACTGAATGGAAACAACACTGATTTTTTCAGAAACCAGAGATATCAGTGGATTACAAAGGCTGGGCTGAGCTGGGACAGGTTTCTTTCCAGAACAGAAATGATTAGACATACTTGATTTATCTTGTTAGTGCAATTGTTTTAGTAGTTTTAATTTCTGTATACTGTACACAGGGAATTATCTGAACAAGTTTAAAATCTTTGCTGCAGAAACAATTGAGTACCGTCCATGATACTTTTTTTTATTTGCACTAACATACAATTTTTCAAGACAAGCTTTCGGGGTGTACCCCCTTCTTCAAGGTCCACACTCAATCACCTCAAGCAAATCTTTGATGGAAATCCTTAAAAGGAACCTATCATCTTTTTAAAGCTTTCAAGATGTGCATGAAAATGTGATCATCTTTATGAAAAAGGTCTTATACATTTTTTACAACCTTGCTCCTGTATGCAGTTTTTTATTACAACATACACCTGGTAGATAGTGCAGGGGGAGTTAAGGTATAGGTTCACCTTTAAAACATGTTCCAGCATCTACATCTTCATGCCCCGATCCCCCCCCCCCCCTCCCTGTGAAAGCAGATGGGTTATCTTGTTCTGCACCCGCTGTTTGAAATTTGAAAGCAATGCGGCTATGTGGGACTCACACGGCTGTATCATTCATTCACAGTTTCCTGTGAAAGACTAGACTAGAAGTACGATTGTGACTGATGGCTTGTAGTATTCAATGAACTATGGGGTCGTCAGTGAGCTCCTTGTAGTTCATTGATCTTCCTGCTCTTAAGTAACTACTTGTCCGTATGAAGTATGGGCAGTCAGTTATACTGTGAGTATACAACAGCCTGACACTGCATCCATGATCTGCTGATCACAGGTGTAATGCTCTCCAAGTTCCTTAGAAAAAAATGCACATTTTTTACTTGCAAAAAAAATGAGTAATTGTTTTTCTTTTGTTAAGCTTAACCTTTAAGAGGGCTTTAAATTAAAAAAAGAGAAGGTGGGTTGGATGGGGGAGCAGAGAGGGATAGGGGGAGTGACCTAAGAGTGGATGGCTTCACCCTTCTTTGGTCAATGACAACCCCATCTGAGCAGTAACCGTTACTCAGTCCCAGGGCTACACCATGCCGAAAGAAGCAATAAACTGCAGCCGTTCCTGCTATAATGTTATCTTATTATCAATGCCAGCCAATGCAGTGTAGCATCCCCCACAGTTAATCCCTGTACGTAGAGCCCAATGAGGTATGAACCACCCATAGTTTGACTTAGTAAACATTCTTACTCAGCAACCCCCAAAGTGAAACCCTTCCATCCAGCATCCTTTTGTTGTTGAAACCGGTCACCCCATATAACCTACAATAGTATGTCACCTCTTCAATGTAACCCCCTGCTTGCTTCCCACCTAACAACATAAAATATAACTTATTACTTGGCCATAGGGGTTGTGATCAGTACTTAGCTTAGCTTACACTATAGTTACAACAATACTCATAGTTACTTGTATGATATTCGTATATTTAAAAAAATTGTAAAGAACTATGAAGTATCAGTACAGCAAAGAAAAGCAACACATGCATTGTATTTACAATAAAAAAAAAACACCTTATTAAAATGAGTTAATTTACAAAGGACTTTTCAAAATGTATTCTAAGTTAGCAAAAATATATGAGAGGTGTGTATGTAACACCTTTTAAAACTCTGTAACTATTCTGAAAAATAATACCCACCAAGAACTTTGACTGCATCTTCAAAAGAAAAGAAAATATAAAACATATAATTAAACCATACATCATATTTTGACTTTTTTGGGCCTGTAACATAATTGACTTGCAGAAGGCTCATTACAGACTGGCTATGTGAGCTCTGAATCAATTAAAAATGAAAATCTGCATTTTTTACCATGCAATTAGGACATGAAAAATTGAGAAAGAAAGAAAGTTCTTTACCATTCCCTTCATTATCTGAATTTCCTCTTTTCTGGAAGATGGTTTAACCACATGATATAGAAACATAGTGAGAAGCTCGGGACCCAGCCACTGTTGAGTACTGCTGCCAATCACTGGTGGCTCTGCCAAGGCAACAATTCTAAAAGAAGGATGAATGGGAAAGATTGACCTGTTAAAAAAAATACAAAAATAATGGTTACAAAAAATTTAATGTTTTTGTACCAGGCACACCTGAAATGTAATCTCTTGCACATGAATGAAAAATATTACCAACAGAGACAGTAGTAGTTAGGAACAATTAGTAACTTTTAAGTGAACTTTACTGTAATTTGGCTATAAAACCCACTTAAACGAACAACAAAATATCTTCAGCTTTACAAAACAATTCCAATTGAATGTGCCTAACTACTAGTATACTATAACCTACAGAGGAATTTTTATAAAGGGCATAATTATTTTGCATTTTTTTTTTAAATTATAAACCGTTTTAACACATATTGTTATAAAGCTGCCCTGGGCAACCTCTCTGCTATTTTTATCCACATTTCCAGAATGGTAAAAAAAAAAACTATAAACATCTAGTTTTATGATACTCTTGGCAATTGTTATAATTTTTTCATCACTTGGAAACAGACAAGCTCTATTACTTTTAACGGAAGAAACCTAGTGAAGGAACTTACCTCAAAAAGGCATACTATTTTCTACAACTTATTTTGATGATTTGTCTTTATTTTAACCCTAATTACATCTTTTTCTCCTAATTCTATCATCCAGTTTTCTAATTTATCATAGTATTAAATTGTGAAAAAATAAAAAGGTAATTTGTGGCAAAATGAAACCATTTAATTTACCAGTCACAGACACAATGCTCTAAAGCTTTACATATTCACTTTTCTTTTTTAAATATCAATTGTGAAGGTATTCACTTAGGTGGTACTCTTCATTATTACCTATTTACCTGTAGTCTGCTGTAAAATAATTACGTATGTCTATACAACTAATACATGCTGCAGCATACTGCTAACTGCTGATCGCAAACAAGACCAGATGCCAGGCCTGGTTCTGTTACCCTGTGGGGTGGGCTTTGGGATATACAGCATTTGATCAATGCTACTACTATATCATATACACTACTCACTATAAAAAAAAAAAATTAAAAAAAGGTGCAAAAAGGAAAATAGCTTTAACTTTTTAACTTTGATCACATCTTTCAGGAAAAACTAGTCATTCTTCATTGCATGTGCTAATTGTTCTAATGCTAGAAAATGGGATTTTCAAAATGATATTGTCTTTGTAGGGCTAGCTTTACACAGTTTGTGATTTAGTAAAAAGAACATATGGGTAACCACCAGTTCCCTGATAGAACACACACAAGTAAGGATGGCAGCATGGGATATATTTATGTTTTGTGTTTTGGACCTTACATGTCTGACAGCATAAATGATTACTGATAAGCATAAGTCTCATAAATATTGAAACAGTCCACAAATAGCTTTAGATATCTTCGGTTCAGTTCCCTCCAGTGACATTGTCTGCATAGAGTTTTCATGTTCTCCTATTTGTGATTTTGTTTCCAGGTTTTCTTGTTTTGCTCCAAAAATACAGATAGTAAAAACCAACATCCACCAATTTGCCCTGTATTTTTGATGTGTGTTTGTATGAGTTTTGTAAGGCCATTATTACTCCAGAAGCTCGTTATGAAGCTCATCATGATATGAATAGCTCATTGTTTTCTTTATGCTGTAGAATGTCAGATCCATTTAAATTAATAAAATAAAAATAATGATGTATTCCTTAGTTGGCAAGTGCAACAGTACAGTTTATAAGAAGATCACATCCATGCTTTTTTAAGAAGGGCAGAATAAACTCTGTTGCTATAGTTACCATTTTCAGTACGAGATAAGACGAGAAGGATATAGGGAATAGATGAAGCTTGATATTAATGTAGTTCTTTGCGGAGTTCAAAAGGAAACTTTTTCCTATTATGTATTATATAAAATCGTTTATATCAAGTTAAGTCAGGCTCAGACTGCCCAGTAGAGATGAGGATCAAAGAAGTATTAACCAAAGTTTACTTAAAAATGTAAGCGCAACACAGTATCTACTCCTAAGCAGCTTGCATTGCATTGCTTGAATATACAAGCAGTAGACTGATAAGTGATACATTGGAAAAAGGAAACACAAAATTAAGAATGTGAACGTCACAGAATAATATATAATGTAAAATAAAAAACATATCATTTAAATGCAATATTATACTCAAGCTATTAAAGTCTTGGTCATCTCACACAATGTTTTGTGCCCAATATATAAAGATAAAAGGTTATTACCAGCTACTTTGCAAAATGATGTACTGTATGATTAAAATGTATCCAAATCTAAAACCAAAAATATAATACACTATATTGCCCAAAGTATTGGGACGCCTGCCTTTACACGCACATGAACTTTAATAGCATCCCAGTCTTAGTCCGTAGGGTTCAATATAGAGTTGGCCCACCCTTTGCAGCAATAACAGCTTCAACTCTTCTGGGAAGGCTGTCCACAAGGTTTAGGAGTGTGTCTATGGGAATGTTTGACAATTCTTCGAGAAGCACATTTGTGAGGTCAGGCATGGATGTCGGACGAGAAGGCCTGACTCGCAGTCTCTGCTCTAATTCATCCCAAAGCTCTATCGGGTTGAGGTCAGGACTCTGTGCAGGCCAGTCATGTTCCTCCACCCCAAACTAGCTCATCCATGTCTTTATGGACCTTGCTTTGTGCACTGGTGCGCAGTCATGTTGGAACAGGAAGGTGCCATCCCCAAACTGTTCCCACAAAGTTGGGAGCATGAAATTGTCCAAAATGTCTTGGTATGCTAACGCCTTAAGAGTTCCCTTCACTGGAACTAAGGGGCCAAGTCCAACCTCTGTAAAACAACCCCACACCATAATCCCCCTCCACCAAACTTTACACTTGGCACAATGGAGTCAGGCAAGTAGAGTTCTCCTGGCAACTGCCAAACCCAGAAACATTAATCATATTGCCAGACAGAGAAGCATGATCTGTCACTCCAGAGAACACGTCTCCACCGCTCTAGTGGTTTTAAACCACTGCATCCGACGCTTTGCATTGCACTTGGTGATGTAAGGCTTGGGTGCAGCTGCTCGGCCATGGAAACCCATTCCATGAAGCTCTCTACTCACTGTTGTTGTGCTAATCTGAAGGCCACACGAAGTTTGGAGGTCTTTAGCTACTTTTAGCTACAGACAGTTAGCGACTTCTGCGCACTGCGCTTCAGCATGCGCTGACCCTGCTCTGTCATTTTACATGGCTTGCTGTTATTCCCAGTTGCTTCCACTTTGTTATAATACTACTAACAGTTGACCGTGGAATATTTATTAGCAAAGAAATTTCATGGATGGACTTATTGCACAGGTGGCAACCTATCATGGTACCACACTTAAATTCACAAAACTCCTGAGAACGACCCATTCTTTCATTAATGTTTGTCGAAGCAGTCTGCATGACTAGGTGCTTGATTTTATACAACTGTGGCCATGGAGGTGATTGGAACACCTGAATCCAATGATTTGCAGGGGTGTCCCAATACTTTTGGCAATATAGTGTATTTTGCAAATTAGTAGTTTTTAGTGTGGTCGCTGCATTTTCTTTTTTCCAAGTTTCTTTTGCTTTATTTTCACCAAGCAAATGGATGAATTGATTGAAATCGAATTCTGCAACAGGTTTACATGACTCTATTAATTTTGCCTAATTTTTGTAAATTTCCCTTCTTCTTTTAATATTTAAATTTGATTGATGTGATTTTTTTTCCTTTGATTAGGTATATATTTTTGATAAGTCTCTTTTTTTGATGACATGCTTTTTAATTTACTTGATGCTACTTCCAATATAAATGCTATGACAATGATATCATTCTGGCGTGGTATCACTCCTGGTCTTTGTCTTTAACACAGATGTCTTTTAGGGGGACATGGTGACTTCCAGTTTTTGTTCCAGACATATATGACTTTAACGACATGATTCCATTTACAGTACAACTTCCATTCCAGCCTGGACTTCTTTCCAGGACTGGAAGTGGCATCTTTGGCATCCCCACACACTTGGGTGCCAATTTGGTTCATATTTTTTCCTGGAGAAGATCATTTTTCACTGCACTTTTTTTGAGACAGTCACCTCTGTGGTGATGAAATGTGTTGCATCTATGCAGTGTTCATAGTAGCCCCACATGTTTTTTTTTTTTTTCCATTTTTATGGATTTGGTTATTTGCTTTTCTGTTTTATCTCCCATATACAGTATACAAATTAGATTATATGATTATATGAGTTATCATCTATCTACACTTTACTCATCTTGAACTACATCCCAAGGCAATTTACTTGGATAACTTCTACATATCTGCTTCATATACAGTGCCTTGAAAAAGTATTCATACACCTTGAAATTTTCCACATTTTGTCATGTTACAACCAAAAACGTAAATGTATTTTATTGAGATTTTATGTGATAGACCAACACAAAGTGGCACATAATTGTGAAGTGGATTAAAAATGATAAATGGTTTTCAAAATTGTTTTACAAATAAATATCTGAAAAGTGTGGTGTGCATTTGTATTCAGCCTCCTTTACTCTGATACCCCTAACCAAAATCTAGTGGAACCAATTGCCTTCAGAAGTCACCCAATTAGTAAATAGAGTCCACCCGTGTGTTATTTAATCTCAGTATAAATACAGCTGTTTTTTGAAGATTTGTTAGAAAACATTAGTGAACAAACAGCATCATGAAGGCCAAGGAACACACCAGACAGGTAAGAGATTAAGTTGTGGAGAAGTTTAAAGCAGGGTTAGGTTAAAAAAAATATCCCAAGCTTTGAACATCTCACAGAGCACTGATAAATACATCATCCAAAAATATAAAGAGTATGGCACAACTGAAAACCTAAAAAAAGACATGGCCATCCACTTAAACTGACAGGTCATGCAAGGAGAGAATGAATCCAAGAAGCAGCCAAGAGGCCCGTGGTAACTCTGGAGGAGCTGCAGTGATTCACAGCTCAGGTGGGAGAATCTGTCCACAGGACAACTATTAGTCATATTTTCCACAAATCTGGCCTTTATGGAAGAGTGGCAAGAAGAAAGCCATAAGAAGTCCCATTTGCAGTTTGCCA